TCATCATGGTTCATGCTGACCGTGCCCGCTCTGGCCCCGTCCTGCCAGGCGCTGCTCCACACCCAGTTCCATCGGACAGCGGCAACATCGCGCACTCCGGCCACGGTTGTCTCAGCAAGCGATCATCTCGGGCACAACCGCACCCCTCTGCCCCCCCACCCTCCCACTACCCCACTACCACCCACCGCTCATCTCCCTTCGTGAAGAGGGGGAAGGAAACAAAATGAATGCGATTTTGCCCACGAAAATTTCTCGCACGTCGCACACGAAGCCCAGCCCGGCCACGCGCGCGCGGGAGTGGAAGTGTGCGCGTAAATACACCACGGACACAGGTGCATGCGCACACACAGGTACACATGCTCACTCGCGCCTCCACACTCACGAGCGCGCGCACACGCTTGGCAAGAAAACGGTAATAGTTTAATGTAATCCAACCAATTACTTGGGCCCTATTTTCTGTCCACCCCTGAAGCCAGCAAAGCCAATTCCCTGTAATCTTCACTCATTTGCTAAGCTCCCGCATCTCTTGCCTTTCTCCCCTTTCTTGCCTCTAATCAATACCAGGGTAATTTGGGCCAAAATTGACTGTTTTGAGAACACAGACTTGGGGCTATTAAATCAAATGGCCTGCCCTCCAGCACAGATTTAGCTTTGCTCTCTGCTCTGTTTTTTTTTACCCACCTACTCTCCCTTTCTTGTTCTCCCATCAGAAATTGTATCCATGCTCAGGGTTCGTTACATTTAGTTTCTTAACTTTGTCGATTTTTTTTTCTGTGTAGATTGTTAAGCGTGCCTTTAGTTGAAGTCTTGTTACATTAGCGGTCATGTTAATTGTGTCCTTTATTGTTCAAAGCAGCTTGTCTGTGGGTGCTGGACAGATTTTTGGATCCCAGGACCATGAGAGATGATGATGGCTTGTGGGTAGTGGGGGGGGGGGAGGTTTTCATCCAGCAGGGGAATGTTCTTGGCTGATAATTTTGATGCTGCAGTATTTTAATTATTATTCTTTAGATGTACGCATTTACACTTTCGCAGTGACGTTTGCTGCTCCACCACCATCGTGTGCCATCGCCTTCATATTCGTTTGCCATCACGTTAAGAACTACGTGATGCGTGGTTTGACTTCAGACCCTTTCTGGCCGCGTGCATCTCTGCGCGGCAGAAGGGACCGCTCACTCTTCTGTGAATCGGATAACGAGCGTCGCTCCACCTGTTTGGCTTGTTGCGGTGTAAAAACATGGACTGTGTCCCACCCACCGAGGCTGGAGTCTCGAGTGCGCCATTGTGATGCGGAAGATTTTCAGTGAAATATGAACTCCGCTTGGGTTGGCAAGTCTGCAGTTGGGAGAGGGATTGCTGAATTTGTGCAATGAAATATTAACTTGGTTTTGGCTGCAGGGGTGGTGCAGTGGTTCGTGCGTTGTGTCCGAATTCCTTTCTTTTTTTTAAAAATCCTTTATATTAAGTTCGCGTGCTTGCTTGCTTGCTTGCGTGCTTGCTTGCTTGCGTGCTTGCTTGCTTGCTTAGGACCGTGCAAATCTTTCGGTCGTTTTTTAACCCACTTCCCGTGATCCAATCGAGCTGACATTTTCCACACAGACTCGTTGTGCCAGACAATTAATGTTCGTGAAAAAATATTTAAAATTTTTACACTTTTTAGGCAAAAAAAATTATTTTACATTTATTCAAATAGAACGTATTCATGGATTTGGCTGAACGTCACAGTATATGAGCCCAGAGCGTAACCCCTCCACAGGCCGTGGCGGAGTAACGCAGTTGGTAGCGCCCTCGCTTCCCATGCCAAAGGTCGCGGGATCGATCCCCGCGTCCTCCACAGGCGAATATATTTTAAATCCTTTATATTAAGTTCGCTTGCTTGCTTAGGACCGTGCAAATCTTTCACTCGTTTTTTAACCCACTTTCCGTGATCCAATCGAGCTGAAATTTTGCACACAGACTCGTTGTGCGTGACAATTAATCTTCGTGAAAATATTTTTTCCAAAATTTAACACTTTTTAGGACAAAAATATTATATTTAATTACCAATTGCTTAATGCTGCCATGCAATCATCTGACCCATAGGTGGCAGCCATCTCAAGCCAGAGGACGAGAGGACTCTAGCCGCCAGGCATATAAAGGATTTATAGTGAAAAACTTTGTTTTTACGGGTTATACTTTTTTACACCAGTGCACCATTGCTCCTCTAGTGGCTGCAGGAGTTCTACATGAACCAAATACCTATAACTATGCGCAAACCAAAAATAATTGACTCTGCCACGTGCGATTCACGAGCATTTGGAATCGATCTTGGACCAATTAATGGATTTAATTGCCCCGTTGCCCGTTTCATATATTGTGAGCGATTTGCCGGGCGATTTTGAAATCGGCGTGGCATTGCAAAGCTGTAGCTGCCTTTGTTGTGTACACTTTGTCGGTTTCTCAAAGCAGAAGGTGAGTGAGCGGGCTCCGAGCACCGCTTAAACAACCCACTGACGAAGATTATAGTGCCTGTAAAGACTCCTGCAAAAGTAATTGACACAGAAGCGATTTCGCAAAGCGCTCGCATTAATTAATGCGGGGCTTATCAGAAACGAGGAGCGGCGCTAAGGGTGCCCCGATGAATTGATTGACAGCAGTCCAATAAACACATTACCAAGATGGCTGGCATGGGAGCTGTTAAGGGAGGGATTTTGCATCCCGTTCCGTGGCCTTGTGGGATATTTCCGTGTATCCTGCGCGCTATCTCTGTTAAAGCAAGACAGTTAAAGAGAATTACTCGCGTACCTGAACAAAAGCGCCCAGCGGACTGCTCGTGGCCACTCAAAAAGCAGTTTTATTCGTTTGTTTTATTTTATTATTTTATTTTAATTTGTCCGTTCAAAAACGCGCGAGCCGCCCGTGCCGTTTTAAACGGCGGCGTCGTTTCAGTGTTTCTGAATGCGCCACCACCACCCCCCCTTGGTGCCTCCCGTGCACATCGGCGTCGCTTTTTTGGACGCTCTGACCGTTTGGGGACGGAGAGGGCCCAACGAGACTCGAGCTGTTGCAAGCGCCTGTTCAACTCCTCCGTGGGCTTTCCTCCTCGCGCGTCCGCGAAGCACCTTGCGTCATTTTTTGCCCTCAGCGGGACTTGAAGGTCTTTTTGCAGCCTCGAAAATTCGGAGTGCTCTAAAATGTAAATAAGTGTTGAATGCTTATTGTTCGTCGCTATTATGTTGTTGCTTCGCTTGCTTAGAATGAGCGAGTGTGTTTAGTATTAAGCAGCTGTTTTGTAAGAGAAATATTTTCTGAAGCATCTCATTTGGCCTCACCATTGCCGGTGATTTTTTAATTGTGTTTTTTAAGTCACGTGGGTTTGCATTAATTATTTTGTTTTGAAAAGCACATTATGCTTTTATGAACGCTGGTGTTTAACCGAGATTGAAATGAACGTACGCTCTTTGTGTTGCGTTGATTTAAAAGCTGTTGGTCGTGATCTTCTATTGTAAATGGCAGTCACGACATTAGGCATATATAGATGGCAGTGACAACATAAAGCGATACATCGAGAATGATGTGTGTAAGGAAGGGGCACCGTTGGACGGTACGTAGAATTTCAAGGGTCTGGATTGACGCAGAGCAGAATACTCTGTCTGCGTCCGCATACTTCTGAAGATAAAAAGAGCACTTCAGAGTCGTTTATTTATCCTGGAGAAATCCGATGAGCTAGGAAGGGCTTTTTTACAGATGTCCGGTCGGGGCGGGTCAGAAAGTTTACGACGACAAACAGTACCAAGAGCGATAGGGGTGCAGAGTTTCGGAAAGGTAAGCAAATTATTTCAAGTGCTCGGGGCATTTGGATGCGACGAGATACATTTACATCGGCATGCGTGACCCCCCGAAAGCGGTGATAGATCATTAAGGAAATGCAAATGTTTCGTCGTGGGTGATGAGGACGCTGCAGATCCCTGCGTGTGCGGCTCACCTGAATACCTTCGCCCCGTCTCTGCGGCTCGCCACGCGCCGTTCATCTTGCGTACAATTTGGCCCTCTAAGCTCTAGCTCCATCAAGTAAAATAAATAAAACAATTCTGTATTTATGGCCTCGACACAGAGGCGTTGTGTCTCTGTGTGTCTATGTGTGTGTCTCTCTCTGTGTGTCTATGTGTGTGTCTCTCTCTGTGTGTCTCTGTGTTGTCTCTCTCTGCCTGTGTCTGTGTGTGTCTGTGTGTGTGTATCCGTGTCTGTGTTTTGTCTCTCTCAAATTTAACAATCTTTGGAAGAATGCAATCAACCAGGTGGGGTGGTGACTGTTGTGTTAGCCGAATCTCAGTGTTGTATTGCTTTGTATTTCTAAGTTTACTACGTTTGTTTTCTACCCAATGACGATTGATTGTGTTGCAATCGAAACGTTGTATTAAATTATTAAATTTATTTTCTTTCTACGTGACTTTACCGAAAGAACCAAAGTGTAATTCTGTAGTATTATTATTTCATATTGCGTGTGCGGGTGAGAGGTGAAACGGAGCCGAGACCTATCATTTCACTGCGGCCGTAGCCTCACGGGGCATTTCAGCGAGTTTCAGCAGTTAAGCATCGTTGAGGTCGTTAGGCGAATGTCCGAAGGAACCTCGTTTCTATTCTCGAGCGTGTGGAATGTTTCCACGTGAAAAAAGCGAAAAAAATGTAATTCACCGGCTGAGATCGCCAGCTCTCGGTGTCTGCTGGGCGAGTGCACGTTTGTTTGCGCTCAAACGTGGACACGTCTGGTCATGTTTTGCTCGATTCAGCAACATATCGAGTAGCCGATCTGAAAGTGTGAATGTAAGAGAGCTGCCGACTTAAGCAGTAGAGTTTGTGTTTTTAGATGTGTGAGCAAAATACAAAGGAGCCGGCGGTACCGACGTACACACACGCACGCACGCCCCACAGGCTCAACAGTTTGTCCATCACACGGCGTTCCATCGTGCATCGGACGTTACGTGACTTTTTTGCGTTTCCTCGTTGTTTGTCCGTCTCAGGTGGTGAAGGGGCTGACGTATCTGTGGAGCTTGAAGATTCTACACCGCGGTGGGTGACAGGGCCCTCTCCGAACTGCTCCTCCCACCGCCACCAGCACCACCCGCCCCCACCCCACGCACCCTCAGAATCTCGCCAGCCCTGCATCGCTTTACAGAGGAGCAGGGAAGCGGATTAACTTATCGTGTATTTACTCAACAAAAGCGCAGTATCCCACTGTCCCCACAGGCCCCCCCCCCCCCAACGCCTGCCCCCCCACGATCCGCCAGCCTTCGCTGCTGCTGCGCTTTTCATTGACAGGAGGGGGGGGGGTGGAGAAAATTGAATTGGATTTTTGAAACAATGAACCCCCAGAGTCCCCACTCATCCCTGATGGTGTTATTTAATCTGCAGCCAAAAATGTGTTAACATAAAAGAGAGAGAGAGGGGCCCCCAGTGATATTGGGTTTGGGAGGTGTCCGTTTTGCCGACCGTTATATTTAAGGATGGTTTATTGTCTTCGTTTCTTTTTTTTCTCTTCTCCATTAAATCTGCCATTCAGTCGCGGTTCTGCCGGCGATATCGGCGCCGTAAATTTAAGGACCAAGGTCAGCTCCTCCGCGCGGCCGGCACTTTATCGTTGGCAGCCCGGCTCGCCGGCGATAAGGAACGCCGTCGCGGCTCGCCGCTAATAGAAAAGTTGTGCCGCCACCACAGCCGCCACCGCTGCTGCTACCGACATCGCCACCCCGCTGCTGCTACCGCCGCTGCTACCGACATCGCCACCGCTGCTGCTACCGCCGCTGCTGCTAACCGACATCGCCACCATCTTCGCCGCTGTCACCGCCATCACCGCCATCACCACCATCACCGCCATCACCACCATCACCGCCGCAGAGTGGTCGCATAGGGGGCACGCGCCCAAGCAAGCAATGTTTTAACGACACGCACGGGCAAACAGACATGGGGGGGGTGTGGTAGGAGGGAGAGGGGCAGCATACGAGGGCCGGGGTAGGGCTGGCGGCTCCGTCTCAGGCCCTGGCGTGGCCGTTATAAATTTAAAACAAATTTCAACTCCGTACCCAGGAAAGCCTCGCTGAGTCCTTAAGGCTGCTCGCTCGTTTTCTTCTGCTTGGGATGTTTGACCAATTCCGTTCTCGAGCATTTGTTGTGGGGAGTAGGGGGTGGGGGGGGGGGTCCTGGTAGGATGATATGGGAGCATCGTGGAGGAGACCTACCCCGCCGAAGATGCGTCACACGTCGATCCGTGTGTGGTCCATCTACCCTGCTCCCAAATCGCTGCAAAATAGGCGTGCACGCCCACACAGCCGCACGTCATTGCCGCGCAAATATATGTTATTTGTCATATTGATTTTGTTTAGATTACTTGGCCACTTCGAAGATGCCTCGCCAGCGTGCAAAGAGTAGGCCAAGACAACCTCTGAAGTGGCTCGCTACAGCCCCTTCTCTTAATAGGCCCTTGCAGCGACTTGAGCAAGATAATGCAGGGATGCACCTTTGCCTCTTACCGTACCGCCTTGTTTGTCTGTGCAGTTAAATCCGCGCCAAATGGCAAACGAGTTACTTTCCCCTCCGTCTATTGTTTATAAATTCAATCTATGCAACTTTGCGACGTGAAAAACACACCAACAGATCGGTTTCATTACGGCTTTCCCAAAAACTTGCGCTAACATTAGATTGCGACGAGGATTTAAAAAGGGTAAAAATTGGAGAATGATGAATGATTAGAGTCACGGAAACATTTTGGGTAACTTTTTATTACAGCTGGCCTGTAATTGCTGTCATGTTTGACTTGTTGGTTGGGATTTCCTTCGCGTCTGAGCCTCCGACAGAGGTCCCCCCGGTAATCACTCGTTCCGGAGCCTGCCTCGCTAAAGCAATCGCGCAACCTAATCAAACGCCAGCCCTTGAGCAATTATTCATATGTAACTGGGGCCCTATTTATACTGGACCGGTTATAGTTCCGTAATTCTTTAAACTAATTGTGGCTCTGAGCTCCCGGATTAATCTGCGCGGGACCTGTGTTTGCGGTGGCGGGCGGGCGGGCGCCAGCAATCTCGTGTGCAAAATAAAAGAAGGTGGCGGTGGTGCATCGGGCTCGGCGGTAATTAAAGAGCAATTAATTTTCCGGGTCTGAGTGACACATCTGTCATCTCTCATTTTCTCATTGTTTCCGTTTCGCCTCCTCTCCCTTTTACCCCCCCTCCCCATCCCCCCGTCCGCCCGCCCCCCCGCCCGCCCCCGGCGCTCCGCTCATCATCTCCTCCTCCTCCTCCTCCTCTCGGCTCGCGCCGCAGACGTCAAGCCCTCGAACATCCTGGTGAACACGCGAGGGCAGGTGAAGCTGTGCGACTTCGGCGTGAGCACCCAGGTGAGCGCAGTGGACGGAGGGAAAGAGGGGGAGGCCGGAAGTGATCGTGCCAGTCCGGTCACCCCCCCCCCCATCCCCGTCCCGTGCGTTACGAGCCACCGAGACGCACGACGCTCCGATGTGCGGGAGTCATGTCCCGCGATAGCGCGATGCCCGACACTGCTGGCGAGAAGTGCGAGAGACGCTACCAAGATGTCCCGAGACACTCGCACGCTCAACTCGTGTGTGGGTGTGTGCGTGAGGGAGACACGTGTGGGTGTGTGTGCGTGAGGGAGACACGTGTGGGTGTGTGTGCGTGAGGGAGACACGTGTGTGTGTGTGTGTGCGTGAGGGAGACACGTGTGTGTGTGTGTGACACGTGTGTGTGTGACACGTGTGTGTGTGTGTGTGACACGTGTGTGTGTGTGTGTGTGAGACACGTGTATGGGTGTGTGCGTGAGGGAGACACGTGTGTGTGTGTGTGCGTGAGGGAGACACGTGTGTGTGTGTGTGACACGTGTGTGTGACACGTGTGTGTGTGACACGTGTGTGTGTGTGTGACACGTATGTGTGTGTGCGTGAGGGAGACACGTGTGTGTGTGACACGTGTGTGTGTGTGTGTGTGAGACACGTGTGTGTGTGTGTTTGCGTGAGGGAGACACGTGTGTGTGTGTGTGAGGGAGACACGTGTGTGTGTGTGTGACACGTGTGTGTGTGTGAGGGAGACACGTGTGTGTGTGTGTGACACGTGTGTGTGTGTGACACGTGTGTGTGTGTGTGTGCGTGAGACACGTGTGTGTGTGTGTGACACGCTCCCGAGATGTGTTGAGACGCCGCTCATAGTGGCACGTGCGAGAGATGCGACCGAGACGCGTCTCAAACGCTGGAGATGTGCGTTAAGGCTACCGAGACACGTGAGAGACCCCATTGAGACACGTGTCACATGCCAGCTACACGTGTCTCGCCCGCGACCGGTGCATCTTGCATGCTACCGACATGTGTTTTTATACTTGACCGACACGTGCATCACATGCTATTGACATGTATCGCACGCTTCCAACATGCTTCTCACACTACCGATATGTATCTCGCACGCTATCGACACGCGTCTCGCACGTGACCGACACGCGAGACGCTCCCAAGGTGTGCACATGAAGCCGTGCTTGATGAAAGTCAGGATGTCATTGACAACAATGTGAGATAAACCCCACTGGTTTCGCTTGAGGAGTAAGGCTTTTTTTTGTGAGCGTAAAAATTAAGCTGACAAATGTTTTGTTGTACTCAAATGCATATTCGTTTTGGGGCAAGCAACTGCTTTATTGTTAATGCAAGCATCCGAGCATTGCTCGACGTAAACACGGAGAATGTCAAAGCACATTATCACGTGCCTCATCGGCAGGATGACAGGCAGCCTGTTTTATAACTGTTCCAGAAACCCGCCCTTACCCCCTCTCCTCATCGCTGGGGAAAGGCAAAATTATTCATTACACCGGCCCGGGCAAAAAAAAAAATAGATGGCAGGAGAGGATTCGGCACATATATACAGTGCATCGGGAAAAAAAATCCTCTGATATTGTAATTACTTCTTTGCATGAAAACAAGAGGGAGCTCATTGAAATGCATAGCCACTGCGCAGGACAGAGCCAACGCCACAATGCATGGGGTCGGAGGTCGTGCGTTCCACCGAGGCCTCGACAGAAATTAACGCGCGTGGACAATGCTGTCCTGCCACTGTCACCGGCTTTTAATTAATTTCCCTCTTACGGACACTTGGCGCGCTCTTTGTCGCCGTGATGGCACGGAGATCCCAAGAGTCTCTTCTTCCCCGTCCCGTGTTTTTATAGCACGCGTGCACACACACACGCACGCGTGTGGGCGAGCGCGTGCGTAAGCGCGTGCTGTACCGCAGGAATTGCGTTTTTTTTTTTTTTACAGCAGTGTTTCTGCTGGAACAAAAGCTGTTGGATTTTTTTGGCGTCATGAAAGCGATTCCCCGGAGCGTGGCTCGCGAGTGTGCTCCTCTTCTTTTGTCCGTTTTGTCTCCATTATTTTTTTTTTTCCTTCCCCATCCGCGCAAGTTCTTTGCGGATTCTGGCTCCCCTGAAGATTTGACAATGATGGCGCTGAAAATTAATGCAACGACGCAGTGAATTAATCGCAGTTTATTTTGTGTGACCGGACTGGGACAATGGGGACCTGCCGCTTGCAGGCGGACTCCCCAGACGGGTGCGAGGGTCCTTGCGAGCCGACGTGCAGGCAAAACTTTTTTATCGCAAGTGATGAAAAGACAAGAGTCGTGTCCATTTTGCACTCGTAGGTGTTGGGATTATATGTACTTTTTGTTTTAAACAGAAAAAAGCTGTTGCTGTATTTAAAAAAAATATTTTTTTGTTTTTCCTCAGTTGGTCAATTCAATCGCCAAGACGTACGTCGGAACCAATGCTTACATGGCGGTGAGTTGGAGAGTGTGCGTGCTTGTTTAGATTCCTGCAAATAAGCAGCCTTGGTAACAACGGCATTGTTTCCTAGCAATTGCATGTCACAAGATGGAATCGCGCGCATTGCTTCCACTGTGTAAGGAACGTCAAATATTTATGAATCCTCTCCCAATTGTTCACACCATCTGCATCCACAAAACCGTTTGTGCTTCACAACCTTGAGGCCAGCCACCCGAAAAACCTTGGCAAGACTTGTGCCCCGTGGAAGTAACCGCAGGAGCATTGTGGGGGTCAGGGTGGAGGCCGGGAGGTGGCGGGGGGCGGGGGGCGGGGGGCATGCAGGCGGTTTAAAAATAATACTTTCATTAAATCACACTCGTCAAAACCGTAAGTCTTCTATGGAGAGCGCCGGGGAAGAAAGTGCGGTCGGCGGGGCAAAAGCGCGTGCGTGCTCGCTCGCGATTCACACGGGCGTGACCTTCCCCCGCAAAACGGCGTCTCGCTCGCTCGCTCGCCCGCCGTTTGCGATTGTGCAACGGGACGGGCATGCAGGTATTTTGGTCAAACTTGAGCCTCTTATCCACCCCCTGCCCCAGCTGGGAGGCCGAGTGCTCTGAGAATTCAATGCCGAGCGCCTTTGTTACTCTAGCGCAGAGAAAGCAAAGAAGGGGCGCGCGGTCGGGCGGGCGGGGAGTGGTAAGTGGTAACTTAACAGAAAGCCCCGCCGTGGCTTTTGTCTCGATGGTAATAACAGCCCTGACGGGATGCGGGGAGGAGAGGAGAGAGGGAGGCTATGGGGAGGCCGAGATGGCCGGGGCTCAGATGGGGCTGGCTGAGCTCTTAACAGGCGGCCGACACTTCAGGCTGTTTTGTTCCATTACCGTCCCTTTCCTTTTCAGCGCTTTGAAGGTTTTAACGTTTCGAGGACCGCTCGCACACGGCCCCGGCCACGGCTTGCCGGCGAGAGGGGAGAGCCATCGCAGTGGCCCCGTGCATTATTGGAAATTATACAGGCGTCAGACACGCCCGCCCGCCCGCCTGCCTGCCTTGCCCTGCCCGCACGCTCGCTCGCTCATCCACCGGCTTGCCTGTCCACCCGCGATCTCGCGCATGCCCGAGTGAACGAGTGTGTGACTGTGTGTGTGTGCACAACAACAACGGAGGGCGGAGGAGCGACGCTCACAACAACGAGCGGAGCGCCGGGTGGCTAAAGCACAGCAAGTTGGTACAGTAGGGGGCACAGGTGGTGCATCAGCCAGTCATCTTGGTCATCTCAGTCGACCCGTGGCACCTGCTGGGTCTCCCCCGTGACCTCCTGCCAGCGGGCGTTCGACACTTCACGTGGCCTCAAGGTGCACTTGGCCTGGCACAAGCGTCATGGCGGTTGTTGTTGTTGTTGCACGTGTGTGTTTGTCCGCACGCATTTGAGTGTGTGTGTGTGCGTGAGTGTGAGTGTGCGTGCCGGCAAGATGGGGCCCTTGCCGTGCGAAAGCTTCAAAGTGCCGTCCTTTCATCATCTGAACGTCCGGCCCCTTCGTCGAGCCGTCATAAATTAATTATTTCATACATTTGTGCCACGCGCTAGAACAACTGCGCATTTGTGTTATTTTTTTTATATATATGTTAAACATTCCTCGTCTGTGCCGCTCAATCTAATCAACCGCGGGCTCGTTTCATCCCCGCTTCCCGGCGACGGCGTTGCGCTGCTCCTCCCACGGCAGGATTGTTTTTCCGCGGCCGGGCGCGCCACCAGTCACCCGAAAACGGTAAACGCTGCACATTCCTCGACGCCGCTTACAGGCGAATAGCGGCGGCAGCAGTAGCAGCAGCAGCAGCCGTTAACGCCTTCGAGTATCCTGACCGGTGCAGGGCGCCGAGCCCACGGTGAGAATGAGACGACGCTTGGGCTGCGTAAGGTGGCGATGATGGTGGAGAGCTGTGGTGCAGTGGTCAGCGCATCGCTACTGTTCCTCGCTGCCCCCCCTCGCCCCCCCCCCCCAGGCCCACACCAACCCCTTCTTAACCTCCCTCGCATGTTCTGCTGTAACCATTTATTACCCCACCACTTTTAATGACCCCACTCTTGATCTCAACCACTTCCATCTTACGTACAATTTTATAATCGCTGTGAAGCTTTTTGGCATAAGGCGCTGTCAATCTGTATGAGATAAGGAGTTGAGATGAACCTTCTTGCGACTTGAGTTCGATTCCCGGCCGTTGCCTAACATCGGTGGCGAATATCAGAAATCGGTTTTGGGTCTCCCCGAGGTTGATTGAGTCTCTGTTGAGTTGCTGGACCAGTGCTTTAACATCTAGACTGGGCAGAGAAAGGTGGCAGAGCGTGCTGCTGGTCACACCACCCCCTCGGGCGCCGTGCTGGCTTTCATAACTTAGGTGCTCGCTAACAGTACTTGCCCCGAAAGTAAAAACATTTTTGGTGCTGGTGGTGGTGCTTGCTGGAAATCTGTCTTCAGATTTGAATGCAACATTGGAGGATTGTTGTGTGGAGATGGAGCTGTTATGCACGAGTCGTTCACCTACAAAGAGATGAATTTCCTTTAGGAGGCAGTACAGCAAGTTGCTTTCAGATCTGTGCTATGTTTGAGTGTTCACCAGCGGCGATTTACTGAGCAGGCTTCAAATGCCGTTGAAAAACACTTCGCCAGAAGCCACATACTCTGGTGGCTCTAACTTGTTATTTTCTTGTGATGTGGTAGAACGAACCCTTTGTCCGTTTCTTGTAACTTGCCGATTCGTCCTCACTGGACATCTGTGAAAAAGAGCTTCACAGCGCATCGGATTCCTCTAGGATAAATGAAGATTCTGACTTTGAAAAAAAAACGGAATTCGTGGAGGAGACACCAGAGTGCCGGAAGAAAAACCCTTTCCGACGGAAGAGCTCGTACGAAAACCTGGTCTATGTGCTACCGCCTCCTACAGGCACCGCCCTGCTGCTCGGAATTCATCTCGGTGCGACCCACCAACCCTGCCGCCCTAACGAAGCTCGCCGGATCGCCGGCCCATGGTGTAGCTGTCGGGTGTGCAGGCAGTGCAACTGCGCGGTTCCCCCGGCCTGCGTAGAGGGTGGTGGACATTGGAGAGAGGTGGCGGTCGCCCACTTCGTTCCTTGCACCCGGCCTCTCGGATTAATGAAGTGAAGGAAGACGTAGCAGAAATCGGTAGGCAAATGGATGGCGTCGGAGGAGGAACCTCGTTCAGGCCCATTGTCGCTGCCGAGCAGACGGATTTGAGGAGGAGGTGGAGGAGGAGGAAGGACCGGGGATTCTGTTCCAAGGCGTGCGACGACGCAGTTGCCGCGGCGCGCAGCATCGCCAGCGCACCCGGCGTGCTGTCCCATCCCATCTACCCCAGCGTAGAGACCCCCCACAGATGATAAACCATTAGACAAAGGATGTAGTGTACTTGTAGGCATGTAGATACTCTCTGTGTGTGTGCGTTTGCCTGGGCAGCAGAGCAGCAAATTGCTCCTGGACTCGGCACTTTTTTTTATTATTTGAAAAAATTACATCGTCGAGCTTAATAAAATCTGCCAAACCGTTACCGCATATTTTTTTATGCCGCTCCCTAACCATATAGAGTCTTGTTTTTGTACATTTTTTTTTACTTTTACATTAATGGCCCGATATTGTTTTTGCCCGACAATTTATATTCGTAGGCAGATACAGCACCGATTTTAAAGCGTCGCCAGATTTTAACGGCGCCTTTTTTTCCCCGCGACGCTCAACTAAACTCCCCTCCTCAGAGGTAGTGGATAAAAAAAAAAAACGGGACCGACTTGCGTGTGGCCGTGCCCGCGGCCTGCGACTTTGTGTTGTTGACGCTGCCTGGCACCCTCGCCGTCGTTTGTTTGAAAGGCCTTCAACACACTCCGTCCACCCAGCTTGCCCGTCCACTCGCGGTCAAGCCTCGGAGCTGCTCGCTTCAGCTGTTCCTTGACCAGTTCGATCGAGATGGGGATGCAATTTTCGGGGCACAAATGTTTTTGTTTCCGTGAGCCACACATTCAAACCCAGGTTGCTGAGCCAGCGGCATATTACCAAATATTTCTCGTCACCTCAAGTTGGCCTCTGAATTTGGCGACTAGCAGCCCGAATTTCCTGGGCCACACTCTCTATTCCCGTGACGTCCTGAATTCCCTTCATCAGCATTCGAGCTGAGAGGAAATTTCAGGAATGCCTTACGAGGAAGTATTTCTGGGAATGGCCGACGATCTGAAGTGAGAACTTGGGTAACTTTGCAAATTATTGAAAAGTCCACTTAATTTAACAGACTACAAGTTGCCTTTCAACTCGAGTTTGGGACGAAACCAGACCAAGTCGACTTGAGTTGCCCGTCTCATAGAAACTAAGGTATAATTGTCATGTCCCTCTGTCTCAAGATGTCTTTAGTGGCTTGATAAATCTTTGTGATTTGCCAGTACCGCCGGTGATAATTGTGTGTCTGGGTCAGGTTGTACTTGGGCATTCCGTGTTCTTTTCCGCGCCCCCCTCAGTTAGCACGTTCACTAGGCCTGCTGCTGCTCCACTCCAGCTTCCATGTCATTCCTACTGCCAACAAAGGCTCATGGGTTCCGATTGTAACAGATATCTGTTCTATTATTCTTGTGAGCTCTACACTGTAATCCGAGGATTCTAATGAGATTCTGAATTCAAAGCATTGAGGTCTTCGTTCCGATGCTGGTGATAGAGTCCCAAGTTTCACGTGCGTATAGGTCTGTCAGGAACGCAACCCCTCACCCGCTCCAGGGCTCAAAGGAGTTACTGAGTTAAAGGTAAAGGTGCAGCCCTGCAATGACTTACTCGCGCTGCTGCTGGCGGAAGGGCCTCCGGTAGAGGACACTCCAGAGAACCCCCTCTGCAGCGGCTATTTTGGCCTACTCTTCCATTCTGGCGAGATGTCTTGGAAGAGGTGGGAGAACCTGTACTTTACCCCACCACACGTGACCTGTTCATTAAATAACTACGGTTGTGGCCTGTTTGTGTTGCTGTGTGGACAGAGGAGTGCAATACGACATCAAGTTTACATATCACAATGCACGAATTGTAAATGTTCGTTCTCGTTCGCGCGTTTTTTCCGCATGTGTGGTGATCACGAGAATCGTATTTTAACCGATGATGAAAGCGATTGCGCCGTTACGCATCTCCAATTCCTCGATTGTGGAAATTTCACACAGCAGCAGCAGCAATCATCAGCCCCCTACTGGCAGACTCGGGCCCCCTTGAGTCACTCTTGCAAACGAGACTCTTATCCTGTTCCCCTGACTACCGGCACCTGGTCGAGCAAAATCTACCTTGGAACTCACGTTTGCGTCGCTGTCTCACGGTGTTGTTTTTTTTGTTGGCAGCCCGAGAGAATTGCCGGGGAGCAGTACGGCATCCACTCGGACGTGTGGAGCCTCGGGATCTCGTTCATGGAGGTGAAGCGATGCACCGCTCCACGCTGAAACACCGGCGCCACTTTCTCTTCCTATCCACGACCCCCCTTCCCCCTCATCAAGCAGCGACACATCTACCATGAGGCCCCGCTGGGTGCTTTTTTTCACGGATAAGAAAAGTGAGACCCAGAAAGTGGCACAAAAAAATCAAACAAACAAAAAGTGATGAAAAATGCATCCCGGTGTTTTTCCGCAGACGGGTCACCCAGAAGTGGTCTCCCTGAAGTGCCAAGTTCTCTGGGTGTGCCATGTTGTTTGGGGCATGGAGGAGTCAGTCGATATGTCTTGACAGATACATCCTATTTGCATGTTCGTGTGTATAGGTCACTCGGAAGAGGTCTGCAGGATACACTGAATTCATCCATTAATCCGTGCTTTTGTGGATAAGGTTTCAAGGAAATACTCGTTTCATCTAATTGCATTTTCTTGTGTATAAAAGGGGCCCATCCAGAAGTGGTGACAGATTCATTTTGTTATCTGCAGATCAACACGGATATCAGGAGATGTTTTCGCCGATATGGGGGGATAACAGGATCCGCTAATGTGGTACCCTATGTGAATGCGGACGAGAGGAGTTCATTGATTTCCCTTGGGTGAGAGCCCATTGGAACAGCAACGGAGACCTAGGGTCAATAAAGGGTCAACAACATTCAAGAGTTAATTTCAGTCGCCAGTCATGATTGCGAATATCCCTCGCCACTGTTAGCCATAGACGGGAAGCAAACGTAGGTTTCCCGGGTTCGTAGGGCAGTGCACAAACCAACAGGCCAAACCTGCTGCCCTTCTTGTACAAGCACAGCGTCACACGAATGAACATTAATGGCTGAATATTAAACATTCTTCCACAGCAACTCTGTGGGCCGTTAATACACATTTGCACAAGGTTATTCAATTTGCCTCTTGCTTACAACATTCAGGGCACGTACTTTGAAAATTGGTATCATCAAAAAGTTTCCTAGATATACCTCCTGTCGTCGTCAAGATGTCACTAGACAGCCTATCAAGCATGAAACATAGTGAACTGATACAGCACTCGTGTGTGAACCATACATGGAATCTCTCTGAAATTGTACTAATAACTTGCTCGTCCCTGAAATATCACTCGATTTTATCGCTTCGACGAACATTTCGTCGCAAAAAAGTCGCCAGATTTGGCGACAAAATCGTTTGGTTGGCATCGCCGGCGACGGCGTCTGCGCGATCGGCACCGCGCGGCCGTAGTGGCGGTAGCGGCGGTAGCGGCCCCGGCAGCCGCGGCGGTGCAGAGTCTCAGGTGTTGTTTTGATTGGTGCTCGGGGCTGTGTGTAAACGGCTGTCACCCTGTCGGAACGTCCCACCGGCCGCCCCCATTAATCACGCGTCCGGCGAGGTCGCCCGCCCAGCGGCCCGCCCAGCGCCCGCGTACAGATGTGGCTGCTGCGCCGGAGCGAGCCGGGGGGGGGAGGGGGAAACGAACGGCGGTGGGCAGGGGGGGGGGGCGGCAGAGTGGGCCTGTGGTTTTTTCTTTCTCTCTCTTTTTGGGGCCGTTCGTAGCGTGCGTGTGAAAAAAAAAGAAGCATTGCAATGCGTTTGATGGGATGACCAGAAGGAGAGAGATAGGCGCGCCACGTTGGTTTAGCGTTTGCTGCGCACGATCGTTTCCTCGGAGTTTTGTATTTGAGAAAGATGTTTTGTTTCTTAAAACCCAACGAAGCTACAGCATATGGATACTTTTGTAAGGGAAATTTTGGAATTGCGTATCGGTCACCGTGCAAAAACAAATACGTTCGGAACATTTCCGAAGAGGAAAAACTTCTTCTACCGGGAGCGGTGGCGCGGCGGTTGGCGAACTGTGCGATGAACCTGGAAACCCGAGTTCGATTCTAGGCCATGACTCACATCAATGGCGAGTGATATCCGAACCGGTCCTGGGCCCATCCCCTTGACCAACCGGTACTGACCAGCATAATGAAGTATGGGCAAACAGCCCCCCATGACTGCCAATGCAGTTGATGGACAAGGAGCTGTAAATGATTAATTAGTATTTTGTTGTGGGGAGGCTGGACGTGTGTGGGCGGCACGGTGGCGAGATGTTAACTACCTCACCTGGTATACAGGATGTAGTTAGTGGGTTCGATCCCGACCCTGACGCCTGCTCATTTTTGGAGATTGCGCGTCTCTCTCCCCGTGGTCGCGTGGATTTTTCTCCGGCTCCTCCAGTTTATCCCTCCACATTTGCAGACGTGCGTTCAGAGTATTTTAGCTGCTCTAAATTTCCACGCGATAAGCCACTTCGTCATTTTGTGGTCAGCTCAGTGGGCCTTTTACCTGATAAAATAAATGTTTTTGTTTAGTTTTAGTTCAGCGTGTGCTGTGTGCGGCATGTTCGTACATGTGGACGCACGCGCGTGTTTACCTTTGACCGTGTGGAGATTGGTGGGCGGACGTGCGAGGTTTGTCAAGTGCTACGTGCAAGTAGGTGGGGAGGGGGGGGCGCTGCATCTGTTTTTGGTGGTGGGGGTGTTTAGGGGATGGGGTGGGGTGGGGGGGTTGAAACCAACAAGCAAAACGCTCTGGCGCCGAAACATTCTCCGTTTTTTTTTTAACGGAGCGATCCCGTCACGTCTAATGCGTGTTACGTGTGTGGGAACCGGCGAGAACATTGATCCATTTGCTTAATTAAGCATAAAATCAAACGCGTGCCGACCGGAGGGAAACATTAAAAATGTATGCGATAACAGCACCACCTGACAACAACGGGTTGGTTGAACGAGAGAGAGCGAGAGGAAAAATCAAGCGTTTAAAAATAACTACAGCTGCTTTAGCCGCTGATACCGACGACGGTTAAACGAATTAGCGTCGGCCCAGGTCCTGCGTGGATTTTCCAGCGAAGCGCACGCGCGGAATGCGTCGTTGGGCCCATGGGCCCCCCCCACTCCGCCCCGTTGACCGCCAATGTATCCCCTCGGCAAAATACAACGCCCAGCAGCTCGCGCCGCGTCCTCCAGATGACCAGACGGGCCTTTGATGCCGCTTGTGTTGACGCAACATTTTGGGGTGCGTCCTGTAATCTGGTAGGTGTGTTTGTGCGTGTGACGGGATTTGTTGGGGAGCAGTGGTTAGCGCGCTGCGCTACGAACCCGGTGACCCGGGTTCAATTTCTGCTCACGGCCAACACCGGTGACGATTATCTGAACCGGTCCTGGGCCTCCCCTAGGTCGACTCAGCCTCAAATGAGTACCTGGTGTGGTGTGTAAACATCGCCACTAGGGAGACAAAGGCGGCCGAGCGTGATGTTGGCCACCCACCCCCTTGTGTGCCGCGCCGGCCTTCATAGGTGCTAGCTAGCAGCACTTGCCCCAACAGTCTTTTAAGGCTATATGGGGGATCTTTGTCTTTGATGGGATTTGTATAACTTTATTGACAATGGTGGTACAAGTTTGGGGTGCCTCTTACTTTCCGGAGCGTTTTTTAATCCGGAGAATGCGGCAATGGGGTGAGTGTTGACGATTGTGCAACTGCAGCCTTAGATTAATTTGTTGCTTTTCATGATTAAGTTCAGTTTTATGCCAACCCGCACTGACCAGCTTGGTGAAGTATGGCACACGGCGGGGGGAGGCATTGGATTCACAAATGGCTGTAAATTATGATTCTCTTTAATGATCTGTTTTCCAAAAACACTCAACTGTGAATAATTCTATTGAATAGAACGTATTAATTAAAATTACTAAATGTGTTCTCTTCAGGGCACATTGTTATGCCTAAAGAGGAAAGGAGTGCAGACACGTGGGCATTGACAAATACGATTTGACATGAGTTCAAAAGTGCGTAAAGAAGCATGGAGAGGTGCATACTCGGAATCGTGCGGAGAGACAGAGGGGGGAGTTTTGCTGGGATCACGTGGCCCCAGCAGCCACTACATCCACCGCAACGGCAGATTAACCCAATGATTGAATTGAACACTACGTACGTATGTTGAACTTCTTTCATGCCGTACGTAGCCAACCTTGGTAATTGGAGGTGCGAGGGAAGGACGACAAGAATTGTGATCTCGCATCCGTGACAAGTCATCGAATCAGGAGGGGATAATTATTGTGTAATCATGAAATTAAAATTAAATTAATCGCCCCTTTGTCACTACACCACTGGATAAAAGCCTCCCCTACGGTGTGTCGGCCGTGAGGGTTGTATGATCAGAACTTCACCACGCTGGTGGTCGGTGTGCATTGGTCAGTTTAACACGTAGGGGTTTTGCGACCAATATCCATAATACAGGCTTCTTGGGTGAGATCGCGTAAATATATAAATGTGTCGTTAAACCCGCCACCACCCGACACCGCAAATTAGTGAGGTTTGTCACGTAAACACAACAAAGTTTACAAATGTTGTGGCTTTGCTCTCCAACACACCGGTGTGCTGTATTAGTAACCCAAAAAAAATCTGTATTACGGATGCATTGGTAAAGTGGGAGTTGGGGAGGGGGGGTGGTGTTGGGCCTGTTCAGACATCACTCTCCACTGATGTTAGACGTGGCCAGGAATCAAACTTGTGTCACTGGTTCATATTGCAGTGCGCGAGCCACTGCACCACCACTTCTTCTCAATGTGCAAACGAGCAAATGCACACACGCACACACCACGTACACACACGACTTACGGACGGACGTATGCGTGCTGTGCTAATGCCCTACTCGTTATTGTGCTGTGCACATATCTATGGCGCCTTTTTGCCGGTACCAAAACATTTAAACACAACAATAGCTTTTACCCCTTTCTGGCAATAACGCAGGTGTTAAGTTTTACTGGTAGGAACCTCCTGGTTACACCAGCCCACAGGGGATTATTGTGTCCGTTGTGCAGGGAGGGACTGGGTGGGGAGGGAGGGGCCTGATGGGGAGGGAGGGGGAGGGTGGGGAGGGGAGGGGCTGGGTGGGGAGGATGGGCAGGGGCTGGGTGGGGAGGGTGGGGAGGGTGGGGAGGGGCTGCGTGGGGTGGGGCTGAGTG